TTTTTTTAATGTTTATTCATTTCTGAGAGACAGAGACAGAAAAAGAGCAGGGGAGGGGCAGAGAGAGAGGGAGCCACAGAATCCGAAGCAGGCTCCAGGCTCCAAGCTGTCAGCACAGAGCCCGATGCGGGACTGGAATCCACGAACCATGAGATCATGACCCGAGCCAAAGTCGGACATTTAACCGGCTGAGCCACCCAGCCGCCCCTCTTTTCAGTCTTTATTATTTCAGTTGGTGCAGTTCTCCATACCTTTCCCTTTATTAGCAATACCAAAGACTTTTTAGTTCTGTGATTCTCTCTAGTAAAAGGAATATTGGTGTGAAAGACATTGGTCCTAAAATCTCAGAACCCTCCTAGTTGTGAATGTGTGAAAGTCAGCTAATTTGCTGAGTGTCGGCGTCAAAAACTGCCAAATAAAACTAGAGACAAGGAAGGATGATTACTAAGTTTCCCTTGAGCCCTAGCTTTCTCTGATTCCACCCTTTTCTCAATATTTTATGGATCTCCGCATTAATGTGTGTGTTGGAGTAGGACCGTGGACCAGGGTACCTGCCGTGCACAGCAGGGAAGGAAGGGCTCCTGATAGGACTTGAATATTGTGTGCGTAAGGCTACAGAGAGGGGAATGCGAACCACTTCTTCTTTTTTATTATTTTGTTGACTCAGTTATTTTAACTTCTGCTAATCATGTAAGGCCCTATGAAAACATCTGGTTAAGTCAGCAGAATGACTTCGAAGCCACAAAAATATTTTGGGACTCTATGAAAGGAAACATAAAATGCTACTGCAGCCAGTAAGAACCGGGAACTGGAAAACCAAAGGGAAGTTAGAAGAGACCGCGTCTTTAATGGGTTAATGGATAGGAATGAGAATTTTAAATTTAGTTGGAAAAAAAAAAAAAAAGTAAACCCCCAAATGAACATCCATCCACTGAAGTAATTTTTGATCTTTTAGGCATTGTGCTAAATTCTGTAGAACAAGTACTTAGGAAGAGGGTTCATCTTTACCATCATGAGATTTAAGGCCAGCATAATAGAGAAGACAGCCACGATAATAATTATAATACAAGACAAAATGTATCATTGCACAGATAATATGAAAGGAGATTCAACATACACGCATACACACACAAATTTAAGAGGCTGAAGGACTAATTTCTGTTTGAGACTGTAAGAGAAGGTTTCAAGGAAGAATAATATTTGAGCTTGTTTTTGAAGAATGGCTAGGATTTCAACAGGTAGAGATTAAGGATGCAAGACGGAGGAGGTTAAGGTTAAGGGTGTAATTCCAGACAGAAGTAAACAACATGAGCCAGCATAGTGAGTTGTTCAGGAAAGCTGTAAGATAGGGTACATTTATGAGTCTTCAGAATTAAGGGAGAGTAATGTCACAGAGGTCAAGAGAATGGGCTAGTGGATGAAGACCGAATAAGATGTTGCGATTTGTTTTTTCTTTCTTTCTTTCTTTCTTTCTTTCTTTCTTTCTTTCTTTCTTTCTTTCTTTCTTTCATTCTTTATGTGGAGGGAGGGGCAGAGTGAGAGAGAAAGAGGGAACTTTAAGCAGGTTCCACACTCAGCTCGGAGCACGACGCAGAGCTCAATCCCACAACCCTGGGATCATGATCTGAGTCGAAATCAAGAATTGGATGCTCAACCGACTGAGCCACCCAGGCCCGCCTGGATTTGTTATTTATATGTAATTTTAGCATAGTGATGGGGCAGAAGACAAATTAGAAAAGATAAAAAATGAATGGTGGGAACAACAGACCCTGAAACAAGCTAGTCTCCTTGAAAAAGAGAAACTGCTAAAAAAAAAGAGACTTGTGAAACATAACATCCTGGGACACCGGGGTGGCTCAGTCAGTTAACCAGCTCTTGTTTTTGGCTCAGGTCATGATCTCACGGTTCGTGAGTTCGAGCCCCACATCGAGTTCTGTGCTGACAGTCCTGTCTCACCTTCTCCCACTCTCTCTGCCCCTCCCCTGCTCGCGTGCACATGCATGTACTCTCTCTCTCTCTCTGTCTCTCTCTCTCAATTCAAACCTCTCATCCTAATGCAAAGTGTGATCCTAGATTGGCTATAACTGTGGACAAATCAGCTATTGAAGATATTTTGGGAATGATTGGAAAAACACTGGCTAAAGACTGAACATTCCTTAAGGTACAGTCTTACTGTATGATATGGAGACTAGCTGAAAAAAAAGAAAGCAGTTTATAAAACAATATGCATGCCAGTTGATAGCAACATTATTCACAACAGCGAAAAGGTGAGAGCACTTCACATCAAGAGATGAATGGATAAATAAAATGTGGTGTTTACGTAAAATGGAATATTATTTAGCCTTGAAAAGGAAAGAAATTCTGACACATGCTACAACATGGATCAGCCTTGAGAACATCATGCTGAGTGAAATAAACCAGACACCAAAAGACAAATGCCCAGTAGTCAAATACATAGTAACAGAAAGTAGAATGGTGTTTTGCCAGGGGCTGGGGGAAGAAGGAAGTGGGGAATTGTTGTCTAATGGGTGTAGAGTTTCAGTTTTACTAGATGAAAAAGTTCTAGAGAGTGATTGCACAATAATGGGAATATACTCCACACTGCTGAACTTCATACTTAAGAATGGTGAAACACGGGCACCTAGATGGCTCAGTTGATTGCGTGTGTAACTCTTGATTTCAGCTTGGGCCATGATCTCACGTTCATAGGGATGAGCCTAAGTCGGGTTCGGCACTGACAGCATGGAGCCTGCTTCGGATTTTCTCTCTTCCTCTCTCTCTACCCCTCCCCCACTCTCTCTCTCTCTCTCTGCAAATAAATAAACTTAAAAAAAAATGTTAATCTTTTAAAAAATGGTTACAATGGTAAATTTTGCATTATGAGTATTTTAACACAATTTTAAAAACTGGGCGGGGGGGGCGCCTTGGGTGGCTCAGTCGGTCAAGCTTCCGACTTCAGCTCAGGTCACGATTTCACAGTTCTTGGGTTTGAGACCCACATCCGGCTCTGTGCTGACAGCTCAGAGCCTGGAGCCTGCTTCTGATTCTGTGTCTCCCTCTCTCTCCGCTCCCCACCCCCCACTCACACTCTGCCTCTCTCTCTCTCTCTCAAAAATAAACATTAAAAAAATTTTTTGAGAAAAAAATGCATACATATATACACATATACATATACATATGTGTATATATGTATGCATATTTTTGTTAATCAAAATTTGACAAAATTAGATCATTCCGTGCATATTAAAATTTTTTTTCTCAAAAATACATATGTGTATATATGTATGCATATTTATGATTATACATTAAAAAAACTAACAAACAAGACAAAAATGATGGGTGAGGAGGAAATCAATGCAGAGAGGGTAAACAACTCTTGAGAAATTTGAAAGCAAAAAGGGAAAGATGAGGTATCTAAAGACGTAACTTAATCCACTGCACCTTTTTTATGGTGGTGAGTCCCTCAAAGATCTGGTAGAGGGAATGGATGGAACTTCAACCCTCAAAGAAATGAGAATATACAAAGTTAAAATCTTAAATACCATTTGACGTGGTGATGGAGCTTCACAAAGCCCTTTCATGGATACAAAGCTGGGAACCTCTGGTCTAGAAGTTATTGTTTGTTGGGGCGCCTGGTGGCTCAGTCAGTAGAGTGTCTGACTTCGGCTCAGGTCACGATCTCATGGTTTGTAGGTTCAAGTTCTGCGTCGGGCTCTGTGCTGACAGCTTGGAGCCTGCTTCGGGTTCTGTGTCTCCCTCTCTCTCTGCCCCTCCCCTGCTCACTTTCTCTCTCTCTCTCTCTCTCAAAAATAAATGTTAAAAAAAAATTAGAAGTTCAGTTCCTAACATGATCGTTAACTCTCAAAAACAACAGAAGTTATTGTTTGTCATTTAGCTTATTTGTTTTTAATAGGAGACACCAGGTGAGGAAAGGAACCAGTGCAGAATGAGAAAGTGGAAGTGCAAGAAAGAGGAGAAATGTACATTGATAGGGACTTCCAAATGAAACTATGATTTTGATACGCATTTAAATTGATACAGTAGATTCTAATTCTCACAGAACGTTTTTGTGTGGTCCAGTGTCAAGTCAAGGAATACAAACTAGGGGGGCCTGGGTGGCTCGGTAGGCTGAGCAGCCAATTCTTGATTTCGGCTCAGGTCATGATCCCAGGGTCATGGGATCAAGCCCCATGTTGGGCTCCACTCAGAGCATGAAGCCCACTTAAGATTCTCTCGCTCTCCCCTGCCCCTCTCACCCTCGAATGCATGCTCTCTCTCTCTCTCTCTCAAAAAAAAAAAAAAAAAAAAAAAAAATTAAGAAAGAACACAAACTAAAACAATGTGAGGACTTTTGTAGTTCTGTATCATAATGGGGGAATGTTATAATCCCAAGCATATGCTTTTTTAAAACAGTAGTTTTAATATTTTTGTTTATATTTTTCTAGAAGTTCAGCAATGGAGTCTTTCTCTGCTGAGACCAATTCAACTGACCTACCCTCACAGCCCTGGTATGAACCCCAAATAATTCTCTCCATGGTCATTCTCAGCCTCACCTTCTTACTGGGATTGCCAGGCAACGGGCTGGTGCTGTGGGTGGCTGGCCTAAAGATGCAGCGGACGGTGAACACAGTTTGGTTTCTCCATCTCACGCTGGCGGACTTCCTCTGTTGCCTCTCCTTGCCCTTCTCCCTGGCTCACTTGGCTCTCCAAGGACACTGGCCCTATGGCTGGCTCCTCTGTAAGCTCATCCCCTCCATCATTGTCCTCAACATGTTTGCCAGTGTCTTCCTGCTGACTGTCATTAGCCTGGATCGTTGCCTTTTGGTACTCAAGCCGATCTGGTGCCAGAATCACCGCAATGTGGGGACAGCCTTCACTATCTGTGGATGTATATGGGTGGTGGCTTTTGTAATGTGCATACCTGTGTTCGTGTACCGGGAAACATTCACTGTAGGCAACCGTGACGTGTGTGGCTACGATCTTGGCTTCTACGGCTCATTAGATTATTCAGACTTCACCATTGATCTACTGGAAAATGGATCTCTTGACAACTCCATTGTTCAGCTGCCTGGAGAAATGGATGCAAGGCTGCAGTCTTTCTCTGAACGAGCCAATGACCTGCCTTGGACAGCCACCACTATCTTCCATTCTCAAACACTTCAAAGACCTTCTGGACAGTCACTCCCTACAGATCCAGCTAATTTATCTAGTCAACCTCCATACGATAACTTATTTAAGCCTGCGAATGAGGTCTCACCTATAGTCCCCAGTGGGTTTCCCATTGAAGATCACAGAGCTAATCCACTCGATTTAGAGCTTTACTCTGACTCCTCCAGCAATTCCTCATACTTGTATGAGCTATTCCAAGATTTCCAGGGTGATTATTTAGGCCAGTTTTCATATAACAATCAAGTACTAACCCCCCGGGGGGCAGTAACCATCACCAGACTAGTGGTAGGTTTCCTTCTGCCCTCTTTTGTCATGGTGGCCTGTTACAGCCTCATTATCTTCCGCATGCGACGGGGCCGCTTCACCAAGACTCGGATCAAAACCTTGAAAGTGGCCATGGCTGTGGTGATTGTCTTCTGCGTCTGCTGGGCTCCATACCACATTGTTGGGGTCCTATCATTGTTTTTTGACTCAGAAACTCCCCTTGGAGAAGCTCTGCTGTCTTGGGACCACGTGTGCATCGCTCTCGCGTCGGCCAATAGTTGCTTTAATCCCTTCCTCTATGCCCTCCTAGGAAAAGATTTTAGGAAGAAAGCAAGGCAGTCGATGAAGGGCATTCTGGAGGCAGCTTTCAGTGAGGACGTCACACACTCTACCAGCTGTCCCCAAAGCAAAGTCTTTACGGAAAGAAATAGTATCAGTACATCTGTGTGAAAATACGGAGCGGTTGACCCCAGCAGAGGTTCTTAGGTATTCACCCAGTGTGCCATTTTCTAAAACAATAAGGGATATTGTGAGCAGGGGATTTCAGAAACCATCAAAGAATCAATCCAGAGGTTCTCGAAGTATGAGCCCAGGCTAAGGGCATCCGCATCACCTGGAAACTTGCTAGAATCTCCAAGAAACTTGCTGAACCAGAATGTCTGAGGGTGGGGCTCCAGAAAGTGTTTTAACAAGCTCTCTTGTTTCTAATGAATGCTAAATTTGAGAATTGTAAAAATTAGTCTATTTCTCTCCCAACCTAAGCTAAATGAAACCAACGAGAACCTAGTCTGTTTCAAAATGATTTTTCCATCATGAAATTTTTTTTTAACGTTATTTATTTTTGAGAGAGAGGGAGAGAGAGAGCATGAGCAGGGGAGAAGCAGAGAGAGAGGGAAACACAGTATCTGAAGCAGGCTCCAGGCTCTGAGCTGTCAGCACAGAGCCTGATGTGGGGCTCGAACTCATGAACCGTGAGATCATGACCTGAGCCGAAGTTGGATACTCAATTGACTGAGCCACCCAGGCGCCCCCAATTTTTTTTAGTATTGTCTGAATCCCTCCCCACCAGATTCAATTTAAAACCATTCCATCTAGTCTTACCTGAGTGAAAGATGATCATCTATTTATGGCTCTGTTGTGGTGGTGGTGATATTTTTAAATGAAAAGAAGGTACAAAAGGAAAGCAAAAGTCTATGAAAACAAGCAGTTATGAGACTGAGTCTGGAAGCAGAGTACAATGTCAGATGCTTGCTATGTGCAATACTTCTGGATATAGGACATGGGAATTCCAATGGGAATTCCAAGTTTCCATTATTTCAATTAAATAGGCATCTACTGTGTAAGGACAGGCTGCTAAGGCATCTGAAAACTTCCTCATGAAATGGCACGTGAGCTGTGGTTTGTGGAGTTTTCTATTTGTTTACTCAGTCTGCGTATTGAGAGAACCATCTCTCTTCCATTCGTTTTCTTAAACTCTATTCCCTTAATCCCACCCTACCCTGGCCTCTAAATCTTCTTCCATATTAGACTTTGTGCATCTAATAACCTCTAATTTCATAAGAGTCAAACTTGAAACTTGCTTGAAACTAATGCTTGAAACTAATACCCTCACCACCCCCCCCACCCCCCACCCCACCCCCGCCCAAACTCATTTCAAGTGAAAAGGGTAGAGGACAGAGCAGCAATCCTTGAATTCATTGCCTGATGACTGAGTACCCCCCGGGAAGACCATCCATCACACTTTGGCAAGCATGGCTACAGGTGTAGATCATTCACCGGATGTGTCTCTTGGGGCTTTTTGAAATTATTCTTTATCTTTTCCAAAGTAAAACATGCACATAGTTTAAACAGCATTCCCAGCTTATACTGAAATGTAAGAAGTTTCCTGCCCCACTCTGCGGAACCAATCCCTCCTCCTACACCCATCTCCCAGAAATAACACTTGTAGCAATTTTAGATGTTTCTTCTGATGTTTACCATGTTAAGTCATGTGCTTATGCAGCTAGTTTTTTATACATGATAAAGTGACTTCTTGTTTTGGAAGATGAAGAATTTTAACCACATTCCTCATTTTTGTGTATCCATCATCCTAACATTCATTAACCATCATACGTTAATTTGCTCGTGACCACACATTTTCTTCTCCTCTGTGGATCCATTCCAACCATATATATGGCTTTCCTTCCATCCTTGTTTCATTCTTTAAAAAAAAAAAAAAAATTATTTAACTCTATCACCTTCTCATTTTTCTGGGTATATAAACTTGTATGTGTTCAACCTCTAAAATTCCAGGTTTCTTTGTACTACAATATAGCCTCATCTAAGTGGAATATAATTATTTAATCTAAAAAAGAGAGAAAATGAGATGTTTTAGACTTGCAAGATACTGTTATTTGTTCAATGGTTGAGGTAAGGATCGAGACTACAAATAAGTTATAAAATACTATGCAGAAAAATTGCAGATCACTGGGAATTCTTCCAATTGTGAGGTAACAATGTCTAACATGATGTAAGATTTGCAATGGCACCTTCCAATGTAATCTGCTGACCTAATTGATATGAATAAATGCTTTCTTTCTTGTGGTTCCTTGCAAGGCTGTGATATGTGGATCCTCTTAATTGTCTGACACTCAGAATATATCATAATCTCGAGGCACCTGGGTGGCTCAGTCAGTTAAGGGTCTGACTTCAGCTTCGGTCATGATCTCACCGTTTTTGTGAGTTCAAATCCCGTGTCGGGCTCGGTGTTGTCAGCTCAGAGCCTGGAGCCTGCTTCGGATTCTGTGTCTCGCTGTCTTTCTCTGCCCCTCGCCTGCTTGCAATGTGTCTGTCCCTCTCTTTGAAAAATAGACATAAAAAAAAGTAAAAAGAAAAAAAAGATTCTCTCTCTCTCCCTCTGCCCCTCCCCTCCTGTGCACACATGCATGCTCTCTCTCTAAAATATATATAAATGTATTAATATATATTTAAATATATGTTATATTTAAAAAGCCTTAATATATTTGATAAAATAATTATAAATATATTAAAATTTATATATTTTTTATATTTTATATATGATATATACATATATATATCATAATCTCTAAATAAACAACAAATAAATCTCATAGTGGGTTGCTATAGGCTTGCTCTAACAGCAATTAGCCAAACTGCAAATCCCAACATATTTCAATGGGTGTTGGAGAATTCCCAAACTCCTGCATTTAGCATATAGGATATTAGGGCGGAATGGCACAGTTATAAAGATTCAATAGTTGCTACTTCTGGGTTCCTTGTGAGAGTTCCAATCCTTGGAAATGTAGTCTGGAAAAAAAATCCTACAATTGGAATTCCCTCATTTTCTTATGAAAAACTCGGTAAGTACCTGTAAGTACTGACAGGAAGTCTCACATGGTAACTCCTCCCTCTAATCTTTGAAATGTCCCAGAACACGGGCAAGGTGGCTTAGTCCACACACCAAGCTACAAGGGGTGACTGCCTCTCCCAACCAGATTTTACTACATTTAATAGCATTTTTAAAAAGCAGTATTAAAAGCATGTTTTTTGTGGGGCGCCTGGGTGGCTCGGTCGGTTAAGCGACTGACTTCGGCTCAGATCACGATCTCACGGTCAGGGAGTTTGAGCCCCGCACCGTGCTCTGTGCTGACAGCTCGGAGCCTGGAGCCTGCTTCCGATTCTGTGTCTCCCTCTCTCTCTGCCCCTCCCCTGCTCGTGCTCTGTCTCTCTCTGTCTCGAAAATAAATTTAAAAAACATTAAAAAAAAGTAATAATAAAAAAAATAAATAAAAGCATGTGTTTTGATTCGTCTTTCCCCCCCGAATCTTACCAAAAAATTTCAAAATCAACCAATCAAACCCAGTGGTGGGAGGGCGGGGAGGGCTACAAGGCCAGCTGCAAACAAATGTTTCCGCTTTTCTCCCTTCCTACCCTGGCCAAAACACATTTGAGACCGGCACCAGTAAGATAAAAGCGTCAACATTCGTCTTCCTTTTTTTTTTTTTTTTATTAAGAAAGCATGCAAAAAACAACAACAACTTGTGAGACCAAACACCCCCTTGCCAGCCTGCACCAATGCAAAGCATTATGGGTGGTATGAAGGACTCACCAAACCAGAAACATGGGGGTTGAAGAGAGGAAAGCAAGGATGGGTGGACCTCTACCAAGTAGCTGCTCCTTCTGTCCCTCTCCTCCAAATTTCTCCCCTATTTCCTCTTGTAGGCAGTGAGCTCCCGCGGTTTTGCACACATCACCCAATACAACAACAACTGTACTTCGAGCCCAGCAATGCCGGACTCTCCAAAAAAAGTAGTATTCTTTCCATTGCGTGGAGGGGAGGGGAAACTGAGGCCCAAAGAGGGTCAGCTTTGTCCTGTGCCATTTAGCAAGGCTGAGTTCAATGGAAGGGAGCTAAAAATCTCAGGAGGTCTGAGAGGCGATCTTCAGCCCTAGTCCCAAATTTCAGTTACTCCAGCTGCCCGCCAGAGCCTTCATGAGACTAGTTTCCAGAAGACACAGATGAATTATAAACAAGGAACATTTACGTGTACAATTTAGTCTACCCTCGCAGATCCTGTGTGGAGCTGAGTAGAAAAGGGGCTTAGAAAAGAGAAGTGATCATCACTCATCACTTGTAAAGGGGGAATCTTGGGGAGAACAGATGGCAGGGTGTACGTAGGAGGCACCTTGACTGGAAGGAATAAGGAACAGATGCCTAGAATAGGAACACGGGGCAAAGGCATTTTGCCACCCTCTGAGAGAAATTCTCCTTTCCCCAATGGGAAATATTACGTCATACTTCAACCCCACTGACCGCCCTCCAACACAACGGGGGATTCAAGCCACTCATACCCCCATTTCTTACAAAGAACTTCACAGAAATAAAGTGCTCTTTAGTTAACCGCCCTTTCTTGCCCCTTTGCTTCAGCCTTCTTCAACAAGCTCTCGTGTATAACCCCCTTGCAAAGAGAGGGAGGGGTGGGTGAGGGGGAAAAGCCGAGGAGCGGAAAGCTAGATCTCCTGGAAGTCATCGGTAAATAAAAGAATGTGAACGAAAAGCAGAAATCACAGAGAGAGTGGCCTTGTCCATTCCTTACATTTTGTCCTGTAGCTTCCAGAAAGCGAACGTTCAGGGAAATGAAAACAGAACTAAAGTTATTTTTCCCTCTCGTAACTAATATTCAACAATTAACATTAAGTACACACTAAGTACTTTGCAACAGTAACTCATGGCCACTCCTCGTTGGAGAGAAGTTGTCCCCGTACCTTATTCTGGGAGTCTCCTTTGATCCTCATAAAACTCTCCCCTCTAGATTACGTACTCCCCACAACCTATCTCCTTCACGCCTCAAAAGCCTAATCGCAAAAGCTTCAGCCCCAGTGATCTGGATTCCGAGAGAAGTTATTTGCCCACATAGTTAAATAACTGCAATATTCCCTACCCATGTGTATGCCGACTCCTATTTCCTTCCCCCGCCCTCCCACCGTTACCACTAAAGGTTCGGTTCTGCTATGATCAGCGGGAAAGAGATTCCCATGTTGTCCTAGCATAGGATGAGACTAAGAGGGCGAGAATGGCTCACTTTTCTTTCTTGAGAGTTCCAGAAAATGGGGGAAGAAAAATAAAAGGGAAGGAACTGAGCAAACAGCTGGAGGAGGACAAAATAAAATTTGCCGAATGGGCAAAAGGGATTGAAGGATCATTTGTAAATGCAAATAAGAGCCACAGTGGATTTCCAGAGGAAATTATGTTTGGAAACTCAGAAGGGTTGAACTGAAGCCATCTCCTAAAAGCCCAACCTATACTGAATGGTTGTCCTCGTCCCTATCATAGAAGCAGAGTTCCGGCCAAGACCAAATCTATCCCCAATAGACAGAGGGCTAAGAACGAGCCAATGGAAGTTTCTAGTAGCATATACCCAATTTCTGACTGTTTTATATTCTATCGCCCCTCTACAGTACTTGACTCGACCCACCCCAGACCTCTTATTCCACTAGGATTTTATCGTCACCCTCCATCGCTCTTGCCCTTGATGGGGAGTGAGGCTCGGCAGAAGGAAGGATTGGAGATATAAAGGGAGAAGGAAGAGCTCGGAGGACAAAATTAGCACCATTGAGTAAAACCTGCAAATTCGCGGCTGCCAAGCAGTGTTTCAGATCCCTTTTACTCGATAAGGTGGCTTCTCTAGGACTGGACTGAACTGACAGGAACAGAAAACGATTTAGGGCCAAAAGGTGGGATTAGCATCGAGTTTCTCAAAGAGAAAGGTAAATCAAAGTTGGAAACCCTTCTCTGCAGCCATCGGGGCCTCCCCTTCCAGCCAGATGATTTTATAAATTAGCAAGGGGTGGACATGGTCCGTGGAGTAGGGACAGGAGACGGGGAACAGCATATAACCAATAATAATAATAACAATAATAATAATAATAATACCATAATAAGAATAATAATAAAAGAATTAGGGGGAGAAAACAAGAAGAAAGAGGAAGAAGGAGGCAGGAAAGGGGGGGGTTATCTTCGGCAGCATCTTGCGGTGGCTTCTCTGACAGAGCGAGAAAAAAAGAGAATATATAAGTATATACAGGCAAGGAGGAAGGGATGGGCCGGGGCCGCTCTTGCCCCACTGCCAGACTTCACCCCCCAGCCTTGGGCTCGTGGCCACACTCCGTGATGCCCTAAGTGATCAAGTCCCAGTCGAAGTCATCAGGGATCTCCTCATTGGCACCAGGAGGTGGAACCGGTGGCCGAGGGACCATATGGTGTGCTGTCGGAAAGACAGGAAGAAATTAAAAGGAGAGCGGATGGGAAGCTATTCTCGCAACCTAGACAGGCAGTGCTCCGCCCCAAATAATTCCACGAAGGGCTGGAGAAACTATTGCCCTTATCAGCCCAGAGTTATTTTCGTTGCTTAGCCAACCACTCCGGCTGGGTCTCAGGAAATAAACCAGAGTAAACAGGGTTGCATGGCAGTGTCATAGTAGGCAGGCACTAAGAATTATACTTATGAAGACCACGTAGCAATGAAAAAAAAATGCACAGAATGTACTGTTATATGAAATCACAGAACAGAAATTTGTATATGTACTACACGGATAAGGAACACATGGAGAAAGTGTCAGATGTCACCCGAAACACTGAAAACACTTGGGGTTAGGCGGGAAAATAATAGTGATTTAAAGTGGGGGCGCCTGGGTGGCGCAGTCGGTTAAGCGTCCGACTTCAGCCAGGTCACGATCTCGCGGTCCGTGAGTTCGAGCCCCACGTCAGGCTCTGGGCTGATGGCTCAGAGCCTGGAGCCTGTTTCTGATTCCGTGTCTCCCTCTCTGTCTGCCCCTCCCCCGTTCATGCTCTGTCTCTCTCTGTCCCAAAAATAAATAAACGTTGAAAAAAAAAAAAAATTTAAAGTGAACAACCTGTTAATTTTATACTATTTATGGCAAGTTACGGTCTTCCTTCAACTCCCCCCCACTCCGCCCCCACCCGCAACAGAGATAGTTCAGTCCCAGGCCCCTGATACTAGAAGCCGGGTGACAGGAATGCAGACATGGGCACAAAGCAGGTCCATTTGTATAACATGTTCACTTTAACTGCCTGAGCATATCTCCCATCTAGATTCCAAAGCTAGACATAAATGTTCTCCATCTTTCATTTATATGGATGCTTTTACTTCCTTTTGTTATTGCAGGCACAAGTTACGTTTAAAGCAAATCAGTCTTGAGGCGCCTGGGTGGCTCAGTCGGTTGGGCATCCGACTTCGGCTCAGGTCACGATCCCATGGTTCATGAGTTCAAGCCCCGCGTCGGGCTCTATGCTGACAGCTCGGAGCCTGGAGCCTGCTTTGGATTCTGTGTCTCCCTCTCTCCCCACTCACACTCAGTCTCTCTCTCTCTCAAAAATAAATAAGCATTTTTAAAAAGACTTTAAGAAATAAATAAATAAAGTCAGTCAGTCTTCCTTAGGCTTCCAGGACCTATACCTCCCTAGCAAGGGGCCTGCCCTCTGGCCTTGGAACTCATGAAGGCTCACCCACTCCCAGCAGGGGCAGGTAAAAAGGAAAGAGAAGGCAGGCTCAGTGCCAGAGGAAAACAAGACAACTCGTCAGGGTAGACAGCGTTGGGTTGTTGGAGAAAAAAGCTTCCTGGCTCTTACCTGGGCGATTGTATCCTGCTGAGTCCTGGGTGGGGATTGGGTACATTGGTGACGGGCCAGGGTAGAGGTGGGGGGCTTGTGGGTGCACATAAGAGTTCACTGCCAAAGCAAGACAAGAATTATTTGAGTTACTTGAGTATGCTTCACTATACTCAATGAAGGAGGGCCCAATAGAGAAAGGAACGGGAGTAATGCTTCCTCCTCTGAATGTCTTCTCCCTTCCCTACTCTGTTCTGTAGCTCCAGCAGGCATAAAGGCTTTCTGCAGGAGCTAACAGTCTTCCCCACTCCGTGTGAAAAGGCACCCTAATTGTCCCTAAAACTGTGAAATATCATAGCTATTAGAAGCATGACCCAATATAATGAAATGTGATCACTGAATCCCTCGTTTCACTGGTTTGAAGCTCACGTAACTAGCGAATCTCAACTCCACCTGATATGATTCGGGTAGGGGTTGCTGAGACACAAATTTGGAATGGACCCTTTCCCTTCCCTTTCCTTAAGTAATTCTAGTCTCCCAAATTAAGGTGTACGAAGGAATCACACAGGTTTTCCGTATAGGACTTTACTGACACGAGAGCCGTTCAGTCAGTCAGCATAGCAGCCAAACTAGTCCCACCGCCCAGTGTGGGTCACCGCCCATCAGACGGTTTTTCTCAATTCCGTCCTGCCCTCTGCCTCCCCCTCCCTTCTCATTACAAGCTCCACCCCCTCGGCAGCTTGCTTTGTTCACTACCTGGGTTCATGGCTGGCTCTTGCTTGCCACTGGTAAGGGCACAGGAGTCAGCGATACGGGCAGGGGCTGGTGGCCGGTGGGAGCCCCCCTGGGGGGGCACGTGACCAGTCTGAGTAAGGAAGTGGTTGAGTGAGTCACACAGATTGGCAATGTGATGCTGGTCGAGGCTCCAGTTCTTCTGCTCTGCCTGTCGCAGACACTCCATCAGTTCTGCAAACAGAGAAGCAAGAAATGCTACCCTCTGCAGAGGTCCCCAAGCCCCTACCGTATCTACCCCCTGTCACTGTTCCAGCCACATCGTAAGTCAACACCACGGGCTATACTCATTGCCAGCAGTAATCGACATCTCTTGGGGCTCTACGTTTTCAAACTCTTCTTCTTCTAGTTGTTCCTTACTAAATTCTTATAACTTCCATCGTACTGGTAAAGAAAAGAAAATTTCCAAGTGAGTGAGTGAATTAGCCGTAGTCACGCTGGTAGTAAGCGGTGACAAAACGCCAAAATGGCGGGGCGCCTGGGTGGCTCAGTCGGTTAAGTGACCGCCGTCGGCTCAGGTCATGATCTCACGGTTCGTGGGTTCGAGCCCCACGTCGGGCTCTGTGCTGGACGCTTGCTCGGAGCCTGGAGCCTGCTTCAGGTTCTGTGTCTCCTT